AAATGAATCTATTTCCATATTTACCTCCATAGATTGTAGAATTTTATCAAAATTATGTGTGTGTACATATATATTTTATGTGTGTCAGAAAACGTCATATATGATTTAAATTCTGATCAAACAGGGTAACTTTGATTAAAGATCCATAATTATAGTATTTTAAAATCAACATTCATGGCTATAATTGGATTATAGCTTTCCTATGAAAGCTATAAATTAGTTTCATAGTAAGGCTGAGTAGACTGATACTTTTTCTTCCATTCTTGGGATACTTTGCTAAGATGAATATGTTCCAGCTCCATCCATGTAAACATGAAGGATGTAAAGTCTTCATCTTTCTTTAAGGCTTCAATATATTCCATGGTGTACATGTCCATCTTACAAGGGTAAATGGGAATCTTTCTAAATGTAGAATACAAATGTCTTAACACAATAACTAAGAAAATGCCATGAAGGCTATGTTAACCAGTTGGATGAAAATATTTCAAATTGTATATAAAACCAGCACACTCTACCCCATGATTGCCTTAATGTACACACCTATGATTTAATAAAAATTTTTTAAAAAGTCAAAATATCAACATTCATTTATTTATGCCTTCTGAAAAATGCAAATGCTATACTAAATTCATAAAAAGGTATTCATAAATCATGATTTTTATTCTAAGATATTAAACTGTAAACAAATTTTAAATGGTTTTAGAAATGTACAACATTCCATTTGGGAGTGATTTTATTATCTTGAGTAAAAACATTATATTCATAAGAATAAGTTTTCCATGTTATAATAAAAATTTGATGTGTTACTTTAACAGAAGTATTCTTTGTATGTTTAATTTGTTACAAATCTATCTTATGTTATTATAACCAAAACAAACAAATTCTTATATCTGGATGTCTGACACATTGGCATTAAAAAAGGATTTATCTTGCCTGGTCTCTTGGGAGCAGGCAGAAAGGCAATCATACGTACTCGTGTAGGTGACTTTAATAATATTTTGGCTTCAATGAGGAAAATCTTTTTTTTTTTCTTTTGAGTAATGTGATCAGTAGCAATTCTGTACTGTAGATATCTAAGATGAAAGTCTGGATCTTATGTGCTGTAATAGAAAAAGCTTAGAAAATCTATCTCATACTCTCAAACAGACAATCCACAGATAATCACAGTTCACTGTCAGAAATATTTCTTTAACCCACGTTTCCCAGATAACAACACAGTAGTATTGAAAATGATACTCTGTAACAATCAGGTCTCCAGTGACTGTGGTCAGCTGTAGGATGGAAAATATCCAAATATCAGGTCAGAACACATAAAACGAGGCTTTAGCAACTTAAGGCTAAATGATTTGAACAAATTTAGGAACTAATGTTACAAACCAAATTTAGTTATAAAGAAAGATGTACATGTAATAACTAGGAAACTTTGTTAAATATATTTTTATGTTTGTCTTTTCTTTTTATCAGAGAAAGAAAATGCCCTAAATACACATGAGGTAGAAAGAGAAAATAAACATAAATATTACAAATCTTTGTGGACATAAAATGTTGACAAAATGCAATATAATGGGAGAGAAAATGATCGTTTGAAGCTGAACTCAAGCCCTGGTAAGTTAGGAAAGAGTGAATTCATTATGTTTATTTTGTATGGATGGAAATTTTCTTCTAAAGCACATTTTAGAATAAACAAATATCTTTTAGAAGTGATTGTTTTCCTTACTGGGTAGGATTTTACTTCATATAAGACTTTATGCTGAGAACAGTGTTTTACTACAAATACAATGAAGCGTATCCAGGATAAATTCCAAAAAGTGATACACTTATCAATTATTTTCAGTGAAGGGCAATATTTTGGAAAAAAAAAAAAAAAACCAGAATGAGCAGGAAGAGAGTAAAAGAGACAGAGAAGGAGAAGAGGAAAAACAAGACAGGGATGGAAGGAGGGGGAATAGGCTGAGGACAAGGAGGACATTTACATTTCTAAGTTTAATCTGCTCTTGAGCAAAAGTCAAAGCAAGAGCATGAAACCCTTAAGGGAACTGGCCAATCCTGTCTGAGGCAAACTGAAAGTAGCTTTCAGGAAAGACTTAAAGAGCTGGAGTATTTGCTGTGTTTACCTTCCTGTGTCTGGCTCATGTCACCGAGCGTGACAACCTCTATGTTCATCATTTTGACACATACGGCAGGATTTCCCCCTTTTTGAGGTTGAATAATACTCATTGTATGTATATATCATATTTTCTTTACCCATTTATCAATGGATATTTAGGTTGTTTGGACATCAAAATGCTACTGAGATATAATAAATCTGTATGGATTGGGGCTATCAGGAAAAGATTTTACTTTTATGGTAACTCTGGCTAGCATATCAAGGTTCTAATGCAGCGGTTCTCAAACTGTGGGTCACGACCCCTTTTTAACAATGAAAATGCATTGTGGCATTAGGAAGGTTAGCAACAGGAGACAAGATCCAGTATGTGATTTCAGGAAAGAGATGGAAAGTATAATAAAAAAAAATACATATAGCTAGAAAGAAGGGCCAAGTGTGGTGGCTCATGACTGTAATGCCAGCAGTTTGGGAGGCAGAGGTTGGAGGAACCCTTATGGCTTGGAGTTTGAGAATAGCCTGAGAAAGACAGTGAAAATCATGCTTTACAAAATAGAAAGAAAAACAAAATTAGCTATATATGGTCACACATGCCTGTCGCCCCTACTCAGGTGCCTGAGGCAGGAGGATCACTTAAGGCCAGGAGTTCAAGGTTGTAGTGAGTTGTTTTCATGTCACTGCATTCCAGCCTGGGTGACAGAGCGGGACCTTGTCGCAATAAGAAAGGGGCTGGGGGAGAGAGACAGAGAGACTAACGAGAAGATAGAAATTAAAATACAGTAACAATGTATAACCACTCACACTTTCATAGGAAAGATAAAACCCAATTATAGCCCAGAAAGAAGGAGAGAAGGAGGGTAAGGGGTGGGGTGGGGGAGATGGGTGGAGGGATGGTAGTCGGTGGGACCTCACCTACTTTGTATATTGCAAACGTACATGTCAAATATAATAACAGTAGAGTATAAATGTCTAAACACAACAATTGAATAAGCGAAGTGAATATGTTGACCAGTTTGATGTGAACATTCTAGATTGTATATAGAGTCAACACATTGTACTCCATAAATGCAGTAATGTACACAGTTATGATCCGATAAAAATAATTAAAATACAGTAACAAATGAAGAATGCTTTTGATCAGCTTATCAGTAGAATTGACACAGCTGAGATAAGAATTGTTGACTTGAAGACAAGCAGTAAAAATTCTCAAAATGAAATGAAAAGTGAAGAGCCAAATAAATTCAGAGATTCAAAGAATGTTAGAACAAAATCAGAACAAAATCAAACGGTCTAACATATATGTAACTACAATCCCAGAAATAGAACAAGGTAAGAGAACAGTATAAATGTATCATAAGTGGTGGCCAAGAAATTCTCCAATACCAGCCCGTGAAGCCAAAAGATCATCAGATGAGTTAAATACCCAATAAAAATATACCCTGGTGGACACCATAAGCAAAGAGAAGAAACTTAAGGCAGTCGGACAAAAACAGACACTAAGAGCAAAAGCAGGAAGAGGGAGAAGGCCTGCGCTTGGGATTTCATCAGCTGCCAGCAAGAGGAAAAATGGCAAAACGCTGGATCTATGAAGACAAAGAAGTAAAGAATATTGGAAAGGAAATTAATGTAAAATATAGGCAAATGTCAATCACTTTAAAAGATAACAGTTTAAGGCAAAATACTAATGGTGTACCACGTGTTCATAGTATATACAAAATGGAAATGTATAGCAACACTGGGGTACATTGTAACAAAGAAGATTTGAAAATACATGGTTATAAGTCTCTTATTCTACAAAAGAGGCATATAATATAATTTGAATATAGATGAATGTTATGGAAAATTTCTACTTTAAACCTTACAGAAATCAACACAACGTTTCCAAAACAGATATAAATAATAACACAATAGAAGAGATTAGTAAATTCTTAAAAAAATTCTCTAACAATTGCAATCTGTTGTTTCTTCTACTGTGCTGATTCACTTATCCATCAAACTAAAGGGGGAAAAAGTCCAAAGAAATGAATCATATTTTATGGGAGGAAAAAACAGGAGTGTCCAATGTATACTTAAATAGAAGGTTAATAATATTACTAATTAGAAAAACACAATTTTATAATCCATAAACAGTTAATGATAGTGTTAAAAATGTGGATATTAGCATCTGCTCTCTGAAATAATGAAAAGCAAGGGAAATATTAGTACAATCTTTAGTTTTAGAACATAGTAGTGGTACAGAGAGAGGTATTTTAAAATTTAGAAAGGCAAACAGAAGGGTTCCTTTGTATTAGAAAAGAGAAATAATAAAGCAATCTATAAAATATGTGTATTTTATGTGCTGTTTCATATATGTAATAATGAGTTTAGACACTTATGTAAAATACGTGTGTATTTTTGACACAGTTATTAAAAAATGTTTATTCACTTCAAAATGTTGTAGATGAAAGAAAATATGTAAAGGGCTGCGAGAGACTGATGACCAGTCATTCAAATTTATGGTGCCTCATCTGACTTTTCTTGTGTAGAAAAAAGTTCTATGAAAAATACCTTACTCGGAATATTTTATTTAAATTTAGCCAGATTGTATTCATTGGTTTTCATGTTCTAAGTTATTTTCAGTTTTATATGCATACACGAGGGAAGATATTTGCTTGTCAAAATCTAAAATGTTAAAAAATATTTCATCTGGAAGTGAATTATTAGGATGCAGCTAACACAGAAAATGACTAAATTGCTTGAGCTTTTAAAATTTATTCTGGGTATGTCAATCTGACAGGTGTAGAACTATCAAAATTTATGTAATTTTCTAAAGTATATAAAAACAAACATAAACTCTATCTTTTCATCATTCAAGGTGAGGGTCTAACTCTGACTTTGTATATGTATTTTTATTTAATAGGGGAAAATGTGAATGCAGTCCCCCACTGCCCCAAATTATGTATTCAAGTTTCCTGCATTTGAGGAAATCGCGGGATTCTCCATATCCAGAATGTTAAGGGGTTCCTCCCACTAGGAAAACCACCTCTGTGATGGCGGTATCTCCCCTGCTGCTATGTGTGGACTTTACTTTAAAATGTCACATTTCCTTACATTTCACAGAGCACCGCATCTGAGCATTCGCATGTTTAATCTGACTTCATAACCATCTTAAAAAGTCAATTTACCTCCACTTCTAGCTATGCAAATTCTCTCCCATCTTCTTCCAATTTTAGCAATGGACCCACACTGTATAATTTATTTGGCAATTACCCAGTCTTTTCAGGATATAATCATTTAATTCAAATGTGTGTTCCATTTTAGTGTGCGTGAGAACTAGAAGTGCTTGAGTGAGAGGTAGAGACACATTCTCTCAGATGATTCTGATGCAATCGCCTGCCTCTAAGTCTGTACTACAAGCTAGAATACAAAGGGATCATTTATAGAAGCAACCAGTTTTTGGGCATGGGAAAAATGTATATGTGGTCAGTATTTTTTTGTAGTCTTCAGTATTCTTCAATTATTTGAAGAAAAATGACCAGCATCTGAAAATATTTGAACTTGCATTATGGCTTATTTATCAAAGGTAATAGAAGTATTTAAAGCCTTGTTTCACACGTGGTTCTTTTGCACAGTCTGACTACTCCCGAAACTGTCCAAAAGTTCTGACCAGTGTTCTGAAGTGCAAGTATGGGAAAGCAGGGAACAAATATTACCAAATTTGTACACGGTATCATTTGATACCAAAATTTTTATTAGAATTAATTTAAAATTCAGTTGTGTTAGGTAGGGTATAGATAAGCCAATTAATAATCTAGAAATAATTGATGAGCATTGACTTGGATGCCTGGAGGGCCCTGGAACATTTCTCTGTAGATGGCACATTAAATTCCATGCATGTCGCTAAAACCGTTTTCTGAGAACATGAGAAATTCTGTGTTTAGAAAGCTGCGTACCTCATGTGACATTTTAAAATATGTGTAGAGTTTATCAGCGTTTCAGGAGCGGCAACAAAAGAAAATTTAAAACTCTATATATTTTGAAATGAAATACAGACTATTGTTAATTGTAGTCTCCTCTCTGCTGTTCAATATTATAATTTACCCCCTTGTATCTAGCCATGTGTTTTTGCCCATTAGCCCGTCTCTCTACAACCCGCCCTCCCCACATCCCCACTCCCCTCCCAGCTTCTGGTCATCAGCCTTCCACTCTTTGCCTCCATGAGACCAACCTTTCTAGCTCCCTCTTAAACAGACTGCAGACTATGAAGAAAAAAATTGCTAATAATGGTGACAAACATACTGCATTTCTCATGGGGGGACACTGGCTCTAATTAATTTTTACCTTACAAAATGAACAAGCGGGTTTTAGCAAAATTCTGATGAATAAGAATAATCCTGGCATATGACTTTGATCATAAGTTTTTTATTCTTTGTATATGTATTGCTTTTCTAAAAGTAAATAAGTATATTTAAAAGTGGAAATTGTCACAGAAAAAATAAGATAACAATTAAAAGGTAAGGAATGAGGGGAATGTGCACATTGGTAAAAACATACTCCAATCTACAAAGCATTAATTTACTGAAGAGAAACTAGTCTTACATTTTTATTATAGATTTTCATGAGCATTTAAAATCCTTAAACTTAAAAAAGTAAGGCAAATCTTTCTTTACATTGATGCTCACCTAATACTTTATACACCTTTACCTATACCTATAATACTAGGTATATTATACCTGATAATATGCCATAAGCTATATCCTAGTCATCCATAATATTATATACTTCTACAGATTTTGACAAGATATGATGTCTACATGAAATTAAAATTAAATTTCTAGTTTTCTAATATACTTTTTAAAAGATTCTCTTCTTCTCCTTCTGAAGAAGGGGATTTAATAGGGCAAAATCTTTTTTAAAATCTTAAATTGGAAAGGTAAAGCTTGGCTAAATGGAAAGAAAACCATTTTGCATTATTACAGAAGACAGTTCTGGTGATGTGTGGAACCAAACACACTGTCCTCTGACATCTTGCAGATACAGACAAAATTCATGAATATAATGTGATGTCATTTTATACAGTTGCATTAAATAAGACTATAATAAAATATTCACTCACATCTTTTCTCAAGTGTTAGTTATACTTAACTAGTATGTCATTAAATCAGTGCATGAACATAATATTTAAAAGTGATAAGTAACCAGCACATTTTACCATCCTGTCATTACAACTTCAGATTTTTTGAAAGTATTAAAATAATTATTGAAGAACTAAAACACTTAAGTCTTTTATATGAAGTACCAGCTGGGACTACTGAGGAAATAATAAAATGTTTTACATTCTCAAACATTTCTTCTAAGAAAAATACCAAAGCAGATACATGAAATGTAATTCAGCATATTATAGATATGAAGAAAAGAGTTTTCTATTATATTGTGGAAGGATTTTTCTAAGAAGGTGTTAAACTGACATTTTCAATGTTCCAGACACTGTACTAAGCAGGACGGATACCCAGATGAACAGGACACATCAATCTGGATCTGCCCTCCCCTTGCTTCAGAATCTGTAGAGTGGAATTAACAGATGCCGGTGGCCAGGGCCACTACCATTGCTTTAGTACAATATGCCAAAAATTATAAATTTACTATGCCAAGTCCATCAGGGGCCAGCCAGTCTTCTCCTCTCACCTCCCATCTCTGTCTCTTATAGTTTCCACCTCAGCTTCAATCTAAGAATTTGTTAGGCTTTTGAGTCATAGAAGGCATAAATGGGAGTACAGTGCTTATTAACACAAGGGCATTCATTCCTCCATGTTCTAACAGATCTATCACCTTAAAAAGACTTACTTTAAAAACCAAAAGTAATTTTACTAGGGAACCTGGCCCTGAACAGTTTTATAATTGAGCCTACCAATTGATCTACATTCTCTCAAAATGCTAAAAAAGGAATCCCTTCTGAGGTGACTACATGAAGTTCAGGCCTAAATACTCTAAAACTCTTGAAGGTGAGTGACATTTATTATATTCACTTCAAATTGTCATGATCGCCAATTACCTAATAGACAATGCTGGAAAGCTACACGTGGGAAAGAATGGGAAATAGCCAGGGCCAAATATTCAATTAAAGCTGAGAGGAGGAAGGGAGGGAAGGGAGGGAGGAAGGGAGGAAAGGAATAGGAGGGAGGGAGGGAGGATTCATTGAGGTATTATCCCTGATGATGAAACATTTAAATGTTAGTACATCAGGAAATTCTAACTTGTTTATAACAATAAACAATAGCTTAAAAGCTTGAGAGTATTTCTTATATTCACAATTGGAGCTAAATAAACAGATTGTCTCCAAGTTTGGCATGCTGCCAGAAAGGTAAATGGGAATAGAATTACCTAGTCAAATGTAATCATCAGGTCAAATGTCGGTATTTTTATTACTACCACTCCTGATTCACGGATTTAGCATGCTTTCAGAGAACTTGCCGTGGCTCACAAATCTATGCTGGTGAAGTATTAATTAGTGGCCATTAGTCATGATGCATTGCTCTTTTGTGAGAAATTGAGGAGTCAGTGGTAAAATGTGTGGAATAATTTATGCTCTTATGAAATCAACAAATAAGGGAGAATCAATACAGAAATGAACTCAAATTAGTATTAGAAATTACAGAAGTGTATACCTAAACTATTCAGATTAGTTTTAAGTAGCTCAAAGTAAATATCCATCTCCAGAAAGCTTGTAAACAGAGTCTTTCCTTCCCTCCCTTCACTCTCCTCCCCTCCCCTCTTCTTCCTCCCCTCCCCTCTTCTTCCTCCCCTCCCCTCTTCTTCCTCCCCTCCCCTCCCTTCTCTTCTTTTCTTAAAAGATTGTGGATCCAAGCACTGCTACATCATCGCTACCATTCAGATGTCTCATAGGTAATAAAATAATGTTTCTTTTCAGAGATAGTCTATATTGAGGCAAAGTGTTCTATGAAATTTTTTTTGTTGTTCAATCAGGATTTTTTTTTTTTTTAAACTCAGCGCTAATTGAGGTATCATCCCTGGTGAGAAAGATAAGCATGAGTAAATTTCGGTTCCGATGTCCTCTTCTCTAGAAAGTATTCATGATGTTCTAGTCAGTCCAGCCCCGGCTAAAATAAACAATAAAAGAAAAAAAAAAGTTGATCTTCTAAAGCTCTCTCTGTTTCTCTGCTTAGAATTCAAGATTTCCATGTAATGTCAGTCTTTTCATTACAAATTTCTTTTACAACTTTGAATCTCTAGGACATGACACAGAGCAGTTTAATAAACATTGACTGAATGAATCCAAGCCATGATCCTTAACTTCCAATTTTAACACAGAAAGCCACAACTGAGGTGTGTTAGGCAGAGAATTGTACAAGATGTGATAGGAACACAGCATAGGAAAGACTCAGCTGGGTGACTGGAGGCAGGGTGTAGAGAAGGATCTCTAAGAAGGTTGAAGTGCTTGATTAATGAATAAAATTTTCTAGTGGAAAAAAGGAGAAGAGAGGAAAGGAGAAATTGGGATAGGCAAAAAGGTTAAAAACATTAAAAATTAGTTGTGTGCAATTAGTATAGAGAATAAGGAGGATAGAAAAAAGGGAACATGATGAGATAGCCGAAGGCAAAGGAGAACATTTGATGCACTTTAAATAGAAGGTAGGGGACTTATAATTGCATTCAGGATTGATAAGTTTGCTGGATCATTGATATTGGATAGGAAATATTAATTCCTTACAAGGTTATTTTGATTTTCAGGCAGAAGATTGGGAAAATCTGCATATAAGGACGCTTCTATGAACAGCAACGGTGTATTTGTAAATTTATCCAGGTTTGGAGCTTAGCTGAGCTGGTATGACAAACTTTGAAGCTAAATTCAAATATTGATTAAAGTTGCTGAATTTATGTCCCTAAGATGGTAGGAAGAGAAGGGCATGCATTTATGAAACATATAGAAAAGTTTGTAAGACAGTTGACAATAATAATAATTATTTAAAGTGATAATTTTTTATCCTAATTGTTTCTTATGACACTGAGAATGCTCATGTTGGGGTCTTAAAGACGACTGATTCCATGCAACGGAGTATC